GAGCGCTGCCCGCGGGGGCCGCTCGCCATCGGACTCCAGCTGCCCTCGCTCGTCCCGGGGAAGGGACCGGGCCGGAGAAAACGTGCTTGGGCGCCAAGAACCGCCAAGCAAACGGGGCTGCCTTGGTTCCCGAGAGCAGAAAGGATCCCGATAGGGGCAACCCGCGACCGCAAACTGCGGAGCATGTGCCAGTGCCAGAGCTCCTTCATGTAATATATATGATTTTCCAGGGCTTCGTGATGCCTTTGGTGCAACAGCAGGGATTACTTCCATTTTTTTGAGGCGACAAATAAGGCTCAGCGCAGATACAGAATTAAGTGGGAAGACAGGGAGGAGATTATAAATCCCTTCCATTCACGCCCTCATACACATCCCAACACACAGGCATCCTCTCTGCCCCTTCAGGAAACTTGCCAAAAACCTGAGTGGGGTCAAGAGCACAACGACCAGCAGAAATCTGGAGGCGGAAAGAAGTCTCAGGTGACAGATTTTTCTTAAAGAGGGTGGGGGGCGTATCAGAGCCAATGTTTTGGTCATGCTCGGGGGAGAGGCGATTTGTGCAGCCTGTTGTGCTGTGGACGCGGGCGAGATGGATTTCGGGAGCTGCGGGCCGCGTGGTTTAGGAGTCCCTTGTGAGAAGGTCACTTGTTGCTTCGGGGGACAAACTGGCTTCGGATTTTCGTCATCGGGCTGGAAGGTTGCCATTACTTCTGTAGTGCCTTGTTTCTTTCTCTTTGCTCTCGTGTCATTTTAGGACCGCGGCGGCCTTGGTGGGTTAAGGGTAGCCAGGGCAACAAGTAGAGCTGGACCTTAGCTCAGTGCGCAGCGCGACGGTGGAAAAGCCTGCGCGCTGGGAAGGAGGCGAGGAGCCCACTGTCAGTGATCCCCCAGCCGCCGCCACCACCAAAGGCAAAGGGAGAGGGGATGGAGGTGGGGAATCGGTGTGGCTTAGCTTTTACATACCATTATTTAGGTGGAATATCTGCACTTGTGAAAAACCTCTGATCATGGCAACAGGAACCAAGAGAAGCTTCTGTCTGCATTTGGCAGAACTGGAGAAGATGCCCTGGAGTGGAATGATGCATAATTGCTGCAGTACATGTGCTGAGAACTTTTTGTGAATCGCAGCAGACAATGAGCTTTTCCATTTGTTCAGTGGGTGTTACATTCCTAGGAAGTTATGAAACTCTATTCGTGGAAGGGGCTGAGTGAACACTGAGTATACACGTCTTGTGTATAGCTGCTAAGCATGAGGTAAACACTCCAAATAGTGAGAACTTTAAGTCCTTTGTGATGATTGAATAAGCTCCTCTGAAATGCCTTTGATGATACGCACGCTAAAGATAAGACTCAGAGACAGAGCTGCGGTGGAAGAAATGAGAGTATTTAAGTTTGAAGACCTATATGTGGTTGTTTAATAGTTGATGCTGTGGATAAAAGTATTGATTTCCACCCCACACCCCCTCCTTCGTGATCATACACCAAGAAGTGATTTCCTGGGTCTCGAATTGACTGATAATGAAGAAAATGTGAAGATTAGAAACCAAATACTAGTTCCTAAATCTTTATCAATACACAACTAGCAGTTTAAGGTCAAACAATATATGAATTGTCTGAGCTTGTCAAAAGCAGAAGTAGTTGTAGCCCTAATTCCTCTTGGACTTCCCCTTGAGAACAAAAAGTGGGCAAAAAATAGTCTAAAACAATCACATGGATATTTTTTCGTCCTTAAGCGAAAATATATGCTATTCAAATAAGGTATTTGATTTAATATAAGACTATTTATTGAATGGTTATCACTAGAAAAGACATTCTACAAGATTGTCTAAGATATAAAGAGGCATAAGATTGACTTACATTCTCTATTTGTAAATTTGTACAATCATTGGAAGTAAAATACTCTAATCTGCAAATAAACTCCCAATACCAATAGAGAGCTATGAAATGGATTAAAGATTAGTTACCAAATCTTAACTTACAGTAATTAGCCACCCAGCCTCACTTTGTTCTTTAAAGTAGATTTTTTTTCTAACGTATGCACTTGTGCCCTTTATTAAAGATCCCTACATAAACATACTTCCGGTAGGTGGTCCTTCTACTCATTGTTTGTTTAATGAGAAAGACATAGTTGTGTAGGAGGACATGGACATTGAATGGTACAGTGGTTTTTTTACTTTAAATGTCTGTCAGCACTGCCTGCCCAGATGGTGTCAGTTACCCCAAAGGTGCGGTGACAGCTGCAGGTTTGCAGATTGTGTATATTTTTAGATTCCTTCACATAGGGGTAGAGGTAAAGAATGTCAGGTACAGTCCTCCCTTGATATCCATGGGGGATTTGTTCCAGGAGCCCCTGCAGATACCAAAATCCATGATGCTCAAGTTCCTTATATACAGTGGTGTGGTGTTTGCATATAACCTGCAGCCACATCCTCCCATATCCCTGAAATCATCTCTAGATTACTTATAAAACCTAATGCAATGCAAATACTATGTAAATAGTTGTAAATGCAATGTCAGTAGTTGCCCATGGGTAGCAAATTCAAGTCCCGCTACAGTAGTGTTACTGTCTTGAGGATCAAACAAGCAAATTGACAGATCCTCTGCTTTAGTAAAATTTATGAAGCTTAACTGCAGATGACACCACCAGTTAATTTACTCTTTTGGAATAGTGTATTAGAGACTATTGAAGGCATCATTACTAGCACACTAGAAAGTTCATCAGATGGAATTTCTTTGGAAAATCAGATTTTTGCAGTCATTCTACCACTGATTCTCCCTCTACCCCTAAATAGACAGTCTACCCATGAAGTCATTAACATACAATATGATTTAGTATTAGAATACTTAGGGAAGACACAGAATAAGCAATTGGCCTTAAATGTACTGTGATGCAATATACATAATAGTTTTTGAACTGGATTTGAGTTCATTTCCGGTCAGAATTTAATTGCTGCTCCATATCCAGATGCTTATGAGGTTTTCGGAAACCATGGTGATTGAAAGACATACCGCATAAATGCAGCTGATCAAACCCACCTAAGCTCACAGTCACATCACAGCTGTATAGATCTAACCATGATTTAAATATTTTAAATAAACTTTTAATTCATCAATGTTGTAAATTTGCATTTTTACACTTTTAATTTGGTGCTGAAAATTCTAAAATAAAAACTTAAACACATTCTTCTAAATTCAGATACATGTTCTTCAGTTTCTTAGCTGTGGGGACAGGTAGGTGTATGGCAAACAATTTCATTGAAGTTACTGGACTAATAAGAAAAAAGATGGCTAAGTAAAAATTTTAATATTACATCATGATTTCCCCCGAGAGTAAGTCTACCATAATTGTTTAAAATGAGGAGGGGGCTTCATAGGTTTTTTTCCTACAAGTATAAAGCAAATGATTACATAATTAATTTCATTTTTTGTGTGTCTGAGTTTTACACATTCTAATGATTGTATGAAGAATTACAATTTAGAAACTTAGTAGAAAGTTTTCCTTGAGACTTACAGGTCTGAAACCCATAGTTGAACCACAAAGAATTCAAAACTCTCAGCCCGTCTGAAGAGCTATATGCCCTAGAGGGTTTTTTCTTCCCAGACATTGATACTCCACTGAAGAATGTCCAGTTCCTACTACTTCCAGTCTCATTTTTATATGCTCATCAATGCACATTATTCTTAGTCTCATTTGCTTCAAAGGGAAATGGACAACTCCCTTGGCTTCAAAGGCCACACAGGTATCAGCAAACATTCATTATTCCTCATTCTGAGATGTCAATATTTTGGCAGTATTGACAGGATTTTTTTTTTTTTGCCTTAACCTTTCTCCTCCTTAAGACAAGTTGAGACCTATATTTCCTCTTTATATGAACTGTGAATCTCTGAAATCTGATTCTTTCAAGAATGATTTAATATACAAAGTATATAGCTGTCCATTTCATTCAGATCACATTTTCTTTAAAACCTAATCATCATTGTGATTTTCTTTTATGGAAAGAAAAAAAAAGGTCATTATTTGGGATACATCTGCATTCATTTACAAATTTTTTTGGCACAAGATTATGGCAGAAAATAAACATTATCATAAATGTTTAATAAATGTCCAATGCCAATTGAAATAATCTATGCTTTGAAAACATAATTGTGTTCTGATCTACATTTTATTCTGCTAATGGCATACATGTTAATTCAACAGACTGTAAACTTTTTAAGGGCAGTGGCTTATTTACTGTTTTATCTTCAGTGCCTGGAAAAATCTGTGGCTCCTTTAAGAATCTCAATAAACATTTGTTGAATGAATGAAAGAATGAATAACTAATTAATGTGTTTATCCTCAAGGAGCCTCAGTATACTTATTTGTATAGCAATGGGTGCTATTTAATAATCTCCAAATTCATTCTGAACCTAAATTGTATATATTTGTATCTTTGTCTACAGCGTCCAGTACAGTATCCTATGTAGATATGCGTACCAGGTATTTAGCTTTCTGATAATGGCAAAAATTAGAGCACTTGAGGCATTTAAAAGGTAGGATATAATGGTCAACATACTCATGAAAAAGCAATTGAGCATGGTATGGATGTCCATTGACTTTCCTCAGAGTGTGTTCAGGTAGGACTATGATCCATGGCTGAATTTGTAAAT